GACGACGACACTCACACACATACGAGTATATACCTTATAGATATGTAGATATATATGGGGGGACTGCCTATATCTAACTGACATTTTTACAGAAATATTGTGATTCCCCCCCCCATACGTTTCTTTTTCTTTCCTTTTAAAGTTTTATTATTTGCTTTTTTATCATAATTAAACAAAGCCAAAAATTGCGTCAACGATGGGGTTTAGTGATAAGAAAAGCTTCGAAGACTTATTGCCAGACAGATTTTTGTGGAAGGGTGGTGTCTGACGTGCAGATATTTAAATTGGAATATGTTCCTACATTTATGAATACTTTAGAGAACACTTCAAAGCATTATGTTGTGTGTTTTTGTTTAAGCATTGAATTATGCGATTTATATTATAAGAACAAACGAACAAAGCCCTAAATAATTTATGCATTATTTGCATATTTTTAAGGGCAACAAATTCGTTTTTAAGATTTACATTGTTAGTGCAGATAATTCTAGAAAACTCTTAAGAATATTTACCCTCAAATACCCTCACGAAAAATCACACAAAAATAGTTTAAAAAGTTGATTAAAATTCTTCGACTTATGTAAATGTCCCCCCATTTCTGTTACGTAAATGTATCATAAATAATTCTTAAAGTAAAGTACAATTTAAATGTATTCCGCCTGCGACTCTTAAGGCATTGTCATTTCACGCCCTCGCATTATATCCAGACCGAGCATAAAGTGTCTCTGGATCGAAAGTCATTTGTCCTCCCCCTGAAGATTTTCATTTGTAAAAATTGCCTAGCCCCTGCTCTGACTTCATTTGTCTTCATAAATCGAAAGTGGGCGTACGCCCTACCCCACATGTTAAGAGCTTAAAGTCGAAGTCGTTGCCCTGATTAGGTGGCTTTTAGCTCTGCTGCTGCTGCTGTTTGCCAAAAAATGACAAGCTAAAACTAATTTCGGTGTCGGCGGCACATGTAAACCCGAATTAGAGTGACAGCCAGAAGGAGGAGACACTCGGCTTAGCTCGCGGCATTTTGGCTTGATTAATTTTTAAAACGACAAGTGGAAGACGCAAATCATCATCAGCTACTGTGTGTGTGCGGTGAGTGTGTGTGTGTGGGGTGGTTTCCAGGCTTGCGCCGCGGGTGCGGTGCGGGTGCCGGCAAGGTGAATTTACTACAAGGTGACGTAGACAGCTGTGGGGAGCACTCGTAACTTATTCACCACGCTCAGAGAGACAAGCGCTAGAACGGGATAGAGATGGAGATTGCACTATGGTGAAGACGTTAAGACACCTTGTAAGTAAATGCACCTTGGGTGCGGCGTGTAATTTGCGTATTTTGACAGTGAAACAGGCGCACGCGAGACACAAATAATATACCGCTGCATCTGAAGTAACTTTCCCACAAGTACTAGGTATAAAAGCAATCACAATCACGCACAGACGACACCAAGACGGCACACAAACATGACAAACATGACAACTAGGATGCTTAGGTTATGGTAGTTGGTAAGGACAAACCGCAAGCGAATGATTCGTCGTTTACTCGAGTCGCTGTAGTCATTCTCATGGATGTGACTGTGACGACGCGCATAGCTGAGAACATGCGTGGAACTGTGACAAACCGTGGAGGAGGAGGAGAACGATGTGGTGGTGTTGTTGGTATTGTTGGAATTGGCAGAGTTGCATCTGATGTACGCGGCACATGCAAGCAAAAACAAACAAATGACAAAACAAGTGGCAACGGCAGACAAAACATACAGAGTGGAGCTTAGACAGCTTCAATTTCAGCCACCAATTTATGGCCAAGGATAAGCATCAGCATCAGCATGGCAGCCCAAAAGGAAAACATTTGAGCCCAGTCCAGCCTTTCGACTTTGCGTGTCCCAAACGCTTTGCTGTTGCCTGGAGAGTTCTCGGAATCTTCTATTGACAACTTAATACCCCTGGCAAGCACCAAGCCAACTTTAGCTAATTACTCATAGCAGCCAAACGGAGTGGAACGGAGAACGTAGAACGGAGTTGTTCTCAGCCAGAGTAAGAGTCGGAGTCGGAGTCAGAGTCAGCGGTGCGGTGCGGTGCGGTCAACGAACGTCGAACAAAGGAGATGCAAAACCCAATCAAGCCAAGACAATGTTACGAAAAATTGAGAATATTTCAATAAACGAAGAGTGGGATACCCTTGACTTGAGTGTGACTTGAATATTCCTTTTGTGTGAGATTTTATAGTGATTGAATAGAGGAGAAAATATTACAGCAGACAGCTCCACTGCAGCGGATAGAAAAAGCCTTTGAAATGCAGATATTACTGCCATCTTTGCATACAAAAACATCTCTTGGGCTGAGATATTCAATGAATTATAAGGTAAAATCTAAGAAAAGTAAACACACATCTCACACGTTCCACTCTAAAGTCAAAGCATCCTCTTGGCAAGGGCATACGTAATCGTTGTGGGACATTGTTCGCTTAATCAGTCTGCTGGGAGCTGTTATGGCTGCTGGGATACGTTACCTCGCCGCCTCCGCACTCCTTCTCCTTCTCCTTGCTGGCATTTTCAATTTCGTCGCATTTATTTGCAGCATGACAGGGCAGGGCAGCAATGCATATAAATGACGTTGCAATTGAAAGCCATTTGTTATGCGAAGCTTTGCTTTAGCGCCACAATTAGAAGTGGCCAACTGGGGACACAAACACATAGCTTAAAGGAGAGCTTAAAGATGCCACAGACCTTACATTCGATTCGATTTGATTTAATTGTAACAAAAAACTAGGAACTAGACAAGAGGAAATGTTGTGAGTTTTGGCCACGTGAGATTTGGTTGTGGTTGTTGCTGTTTCTTTCGTTTATCAAATGGCTGCAGCCTGAGGTCGATTCCAGCGCCACACGGTGGCATCGTCGCAAACATAGACCAAAATGCTGGCATCTCTGGAGAAGGCTATCTGCCGCACCGTCGACACACTGCGCTGATTGTGCAGCGTCGTCATGTGTGCACCCTCCGGATCGCTGGGATCCAGTTCCCACACATAAACCTTTCCATGCTGATTGCCCAGCGCGATGACTTTGTGCCAGGGATTGAAGCCGAAGCGCACAAACCAAATCTCACACTCGTCATAGTCAAAAGTGGCGATGAGCGTGCACGACGAATCGTTGGGCTTGACCTGCTCAAAGGACTGATGCAGCTGTCCGGGCTTCCAGCAGATGATGGCATTCTCGCAGGATTTGGACAGCACAAAGTTGCCGAACCACTGGACACAGTCCACATAATTCCGATGGATGTCGCGCGTGGAAAAGTCCGGAAAGTGCCGCGTCTCTGTGGGAAATGGCATCGTGGACTTCTCCTGACTGAATGTGTTCGATAGCTCCACTTTGAGCTGGAAGTCCGCGCTGTCCAGGCACCACAGCTTCAGGGAGTGATCCATGCCACTGGAAACGATGCGATCGCCCTTCATGTTAAAGTCTATGGAGAGCACTTCATCGCGATGTGCCTCAACGCCGCCGAAGATGGCAATGCAGACGTGAGTTTGAATGTTCCACAGGCGAATGGCGTGATCCTTGCTGCCCGACAGCAACAGCTGCAGCTTGTGCGGATGGAACTTGAGCTCATTGATGGCCTGGCCATGGCCCACATAGTTGCCCACAGCCTCGTTCTGCTCAATGTCTATGACGCGCACAACACCCCGATAGCCAGCGGCAGCCAGCAGCGGAGCGGAGCTCTTCAGATCGTAGGACCAAGCGCATGTGTAGAATACTTCATCCGGCTGCAGAATCCGAATGGAAATCAGTATAAAGACGGTAACTCCCATCTGGTCACACTCACATCTGGATCCGCATAGCAGTGCAGCAGCTGCAGTCCGCCCTTTCGTGGGCACTCGTACACCGTGCACCGATTGCTGCCCGCTGTGGCAAACACCTGGGGCTCGTCTTTGCCCAGCAACGTGTTGAAGGCCACGCCGAAAATGCTCGCTTCATGGTTCTCCTTGGCGTGTGTGCTTGAAGTAGACAAGTGCTGTATGGATTTTGGCTGTTCCTTTCTATTGTTTGCTCCTCCACTTACTCGTATTTGTAGGCGGCTACCGTTTTTGGCTTCGATTTGGTGGAGCGTCGCCCCCGGCGTTTGCTCCTCGTGCTCGACGTTGGCGATTTGCTGTGCGATGTGGTGCTGTTTGTGGTAAAACTGGCCGACTCATCCTGCCAGCCACAAACTATTAATTTTCACTTTCCACTCAGTTTTCACTCTATTTGCCATTACTTACGCCGCATGAGTCGTCCGAGTGCTCGTGCTCGTTGCCGTTTTTCACTTTATCACTGCTCATTTTTGATACGCGACACACGTACGCACAGTTGTCGGTTTGTGCGCGCAAGCCGGCCAAAATTAACAATTGATTTTAGCGTATTTAAATGTTTTTTTTTTTTAAACAAATGCAAATAAAAGATCAGCACGGGCAGTTTTGGCGGCAACAATGAGACCGCAGCTCGTGATCGCGAAAATACACAAGTATATCGATGGGCCATGCCGCTGATCGATAGGCGCAACTGGCGGGCAGATTTGAAAAATGTAAACAAACACATGCGCAGGCTATTTATAAGAAAAACAAACATGAAGGACAGTAACATGCCATGAGAATTCATGTGTGGTATACAAAAAAACATATACATTTATGTACATTTACATAATTTATGTACATATACAATTCAATTACGTAGAAGAGGGTACAGGTTTTTTTGGGTTTCGGGGGTTAAACATATTTACAGAGTAGAAAGCGAGCAAAAGATTTGTGGGGAAGAGGGACAGAGGACAGATTACAGCACAGCATTTATTTATAGGACAATGGTCAGTAGATAGAGAAAGAGTAGAGTTAGAGAGACAGAGAGAGAGAGAGAGCTTTGTTGGTTAACGAAAGTCAAATTAAAGTACAAACCAAAGACAACGAAAACGTAAAAAGCATAAGAGTAACGGTAATGTAAGGCTAATTTTGCTGTTAGATTAGGTAGAAGAAGAAACCATTTTTCAAGTACGTTTTATTCGTCGACATTGACCTCGCCCAGACCGGTGTACGCAGGCGTCTTTGTCGGTGCACGGTCGCTTTATTACTGCAACTGCTACTGCTGGAAACACTTTCAGAGGCAACCGCCGCTACAGTGGAGCTGCTGCCACTAGTTGTCGTCGTTGCTGGAGGAGTTGGCGCACTTGTATCTGTCGCTGCAGGCTTTGTCATCGTGTCCGTCGAGTGGTGCTCTTCTAGGGCAGATTCTGTCACCGTCTCGAGTGCTGGCACTGTTCTTGTCACCTCCTCGGTGCTGCCACTGGGCACAGTCGCTGGCGGACCCGTTGGCCCGCTGTGTGTCTGTGGTGCCATGGACACACCTTTGGTGCGGCTCTCTATGCTCGCCTGATTGTCAGCTGTGCTTGGCTCCTGTGACGCCTGTGCCTCTACCTTCTTCTCCTCCTCCTCCGCTGATCTCTTCTCCAGGCAGCAGCTGCTGTTGGAGTTGTTGTTATCCTGCGGCTGCTCCCGCTGCTCGCTGTCTGTCTGGTCACGGCTGTGGCTGTGGCTGTGGCTGTGTTGGCTGCAGTTGAGATTCTTGCAGTTGCCGTTGCAGCGCTGCTTTGCCGACTCGCTGCGGGTTCAGCGAGTGGGTGACAGCGAGTCAAGTGCAGGGCGGTCGAGCGTTTTTCGCACAGCAGTTGGCAGTGAGTAAATAGCGAACCGGTACAGGCGACAATAATGTTAGAAACGAGACACGTTGTTGTTGTTGTTGTTTGCAATTTTGTTTGTCAGATATTTGTGTGTGTAGGTGTAAAATTGTATTTAGTTTTTATGATATTTTTTATATACGTTTGGCAATAGAAAGAAAAAATATAAATAGAACATCAGTTGAGAGTTTTTGATAAAGGTTTTAGTTTTCGGTTTTTGGATTATTTGTTTTAGTTCCCAATACCCCAAAAGAGAAGCCACAGATCTAACAACAGATAAAGTTAATCCGGACTTTTAACTCGTCGGAACTTTGTCTCTCGTTACTCCTACTAAAGATGATCGTGGGGCGTGGGGCGGGCACACGTCAAGTAGCGAGAAATAATTGTGTATTTATTTTAAGTTCTAAGAATTTCTTTGCCTGCACTTTTGAGTCTACCCCAAGCCCACGTCCATCTCTGGTAGTTGCCCAAAAATAAAAGCAAAAACTTAAAAATGTCCCAACAATGGAGTGGGGGCTAAAGGGCGCAGAACAACCTTCCTCCCGGGCCAACACACACACCTCGCTTGGCTATGTAAATCGAAGAATCGTGTCATGTGTCAGGGGGGTAAATAAATGTAAATATTTCATGTAGAACATCAAGCGATACAATGGATACCCTGGCGTACTCCATGTACATATATTGCAGCTGACATTTTGGGGTCTGTAGAGGTTTGGGGGATTTAATTGAATGTGTGATAAATAATAAAAATGCACATTGGCACAGGGAATGTGTTGCGGTTGTGGGCTTAGAGTTAGAAATCAAAAAACCCTTTCAAAAATATTCAACGACAGCCCGCAGGTGAAGCTTTTGAGAGACGAAGTTAGAGCAGAAATGGAAGAAGACTATCCAAAAATCACACACACACAGAATTCCATCTGGTAAAGGAACGAACGACGAATACATTTATAAATCGAGCACAAAAAAAGGACATCGAGAGAGGTAGATCGAGAGAGAATATTCAGAGAGCAGACAGTGGGTTGTGAGGCTATAGACGACAAAAGTTCTTCAATAATACGGTGCTGCGTTTCATTAAGGGGATTTTGTGTGTTTCGGGAATATCCAGAGGATATTCTCATACCAGATAAATACACAGAGTTTTATACGTTACGTAAGGCTAGAAGGCTAGGCTAAGGATTCTCTGTAAAACGTATGAGAATGAGAGTGGAATGACAGAAAGACAGAATATAGAATGATGAATGATAGTGGGGCTAGTCTTTTATTTTTGATACTGGCAGAGGCAAGGCATCTCGAGACACATGAACAGAAGAGAGCACTACAAAGTATGAGCATAGAAATAGATTAAAAAGAGTTTGGAAAAAGATTAATGAAGAAAGTTATGTGGGGGAGTAGTAGGTTGAGGTTGAGTCTGGTTTGGATGTTTGTCATGTGGGTGGGCGCACGATTTTTGGGTATTTATTATTTATGTATTACGAGTTGGTTGTTGTAGAAGAGAGATGTTAGAGTTAAAAATCAACAAAGTTAACGACAAAAACGAAAAACCAAAGCGACAAGATTGTGTCTATGGGAAAACTTACTCTTCGTTCTCAACGGATGAAGACGCAATCTGCCCCAACTTTGTTTTACCTGTTGTGGGGCTTCTGCTCAATATACAAGTATGACAGAGACACACACACACATACAGAGAGGAGTAACAGTTATCGTAACGGAAACGGAATTGGATATAAAAAGAAAAAGGTATTCAGATATTTGTACGCATATAGAAATAAGTGTAACATTAAATTTCGAGGGGGTAAACTTCATTTGAGTTAGAAATGGATTAAATGACACATGGAATGTGGATGGTGGGTTAAGGTATAAGCTTGCCTTGAGTGCAATATTCTGTAAGATTTTGGAACCTACTCAAAATACAATTACAAAGCCTAAACCAATTTGTTGAGCTCGTTGTGGGAAGCTGAAGCACAAAGGAGTTCCGGTCGAATCAATCAATTATCCTTGATGACAAAATGCCCGCCAAGAGATGTTCGTTTTTAGGGAAAGTTTATGGGAAACATGTGCAGAGTGGGGTGCTGGGTTGGGGTGCTTTGCCTACCTTGATTCGTCTATGAAGACTGCTTCGAGTACACGTGCCGCATAATGCAGATTCCGCTGCATGTCCTCATAGGCAACGGTCTCGTGATCCATGCGGCGGAGAAGACTGCGTATTCTGTGTGAATAATTCATATAATTGTATATACATTTAATTTAAATACAAGTTTTAGGACTCACCTCCCAGCCGCTTTGTTAAGTGCATCTGGCGTATCGACTGGCGGTAGGCTTTCGGTTTCCCATTGTATCGCACCGAACGATAGATTCGACGTTGTCTCGAACGAGTGCTGCGACAGCGGATTGTCATTATCCCCCGACATTTGGGCGTGGGCGGTGGGATTTAGCGATTGATTAGTAAAATATTCCAACGAATCGCGACCCGCATTCATTTCGGTTGTTGACGGATTTGCCGACGACACTTGCGTGTTCTCGGGCAAATAGTTTGACGCGTTCGGCGACGAGGGTTGCATTTTGCTGCTGGCTGCGACTGCGGCTGCGACTAACGGTAAATGACTGCCGCTGCCGCTGCTGCTGTTGTTGCTGTTGCTGCTGCTGCTGCTGCCGCTGCCCTGCTGCTCAGTGGCCGTGCGGGCTGCACCGTTAGCGCCGGACTGCTGCCTGAGACGCTCTGCAAGTGGTTCACTGAGCGGTGCCTGGGCGAAGCTGATGCTGCCGGCGGCCGTTGTCGGATGCGAGGGCGAGGTGAGCTGTGACGCGTCAATTTGCGAGAAATTTCGACTATTCGTGCGTCGAATAATGGTCAATGAGCCGTGTCCTGCAAGCAAGTAGAACGAGAAAAAGTTGTAATAAAACTGCTTGTAGTTTGCCTGCCGTTTGCTTTAGTTTTATTTATTTTATTTGTTTTCCCTATTGACACATTGATTAAGGCGCCGGTTGCTACTGCGATCTAACGAAGCATGCAAGAGAGTCAAGGCGAGGCCACAGTGGTCGAAATGTTATTTTAAAGGCACAAAATATTTGCGACAAACCCTTCAGCACATTGCACATTGCAATCTCTTTCGTGGGCCTCTCTCTCTCTGTCCCTTTCTAGCGCTTGTCTCTCTGCGCGTGGTGAAAAAGTTATGGCTGCTCCCCACAGCGGTCAGCGTGGGCTTGAAACTATTTTATTTTGTCTGCTTGCCACTGTTCGCATGCTCAATCCTTTTGGGCATGCCAATCGACATGAAATCAATAATTTATTCACATCATTTAAGGTCCACTGTGGCAGCATACAGTTGCTTATTTATTTTGAGCTCCCAAGTGAGAGGAAAAATGCTTAACGAGCAGCGAACAAAACCCCTTGGAGAAGTAACTCCCACCCATTCTGCTTGCCTGAGTGGCCTCATCTTCTGCTTTTCCCTTAAGTTGGAAGACTTCACCCCGGGTTATCGCTCTCTCTGCCGCGCTCTCTTTTTGTCTCTCTTTGTCAAGTGTGGAGTAGCGCACACACACAGAAAGCTCGAGCGATTCTGCGAGTGTGTGTGTGTGTGTGTGTGCGTGTGTGGTCCCCGGTCTCCTGCCTTAAGCGAGGGACAGCAGCAAGACGAGTGAGTGTCTTGGCTTTGGGGTACGTTAACTGCATTCCATTTATTTTGACAGTGCAGGTCGGTTGAAGGGGCACGCCATAAAAACCCGCTTTATGCTGCACTTAAATTTATGTTACACCCGAGATTCCGCTTTTCCTTAACTGCTAGATACCGCTGGCAGTCTTTATCGACTCAAGTTTTGGGATGAAATGTTTTATGTGCCGCTTTTACTGGCCACTCTTCACGGCTTTAATGGCGCACCAACGCTTCATTTTACCTCACAATGTTGAAGCAAAATGGCTGGGGCTTCACCTTACAGTGAGCAAAAACCAACAACCCACAACCCACAACACACGCCACGTGGTTTAACTTTAATCCATGGGAAAGGCGTAATGGATACCAGCTGGACTGGACCATTAAATGTGTGGTTTTGTTTTTCACTTAAAGGGGGTTTCTTTTTTTATTTGGGAACTTTAAGACAAAGTGCGCAGAAGTTGGATGGTAAATCCGTTGGTAAGTGTCTAGTGTCTGGCACTCCATATCGATTGATCTAAGTTGTAGAATCAAAGCACTTACCTCAAATGTTAATTGAGGCTTAAGTTGTATCTCCGTATCTGAATTATCAAACTAAACATCGATTATGTCTGCCATCATCACTTATCGGCTTATCAGCGAACTACGCGAACTCCATGAAGTTTTTCTGATTTTAATCAGCATAATTAGGGACTCGAATGAGACATGATTATTCTAATACTTTTCGCTATCAGTGTACATATTTGAACAGGTAGCCATCCATAATTTATCCAGCTATCGATGAGCTGTCTGTGATTTATCGTCAATCAATTTTTAAGCTACCGAAAAACCTACTTTCTATGCATCTGTTTTCGATCTACAAATATTTAATGAGGTGTTTCAGACATTAAATCATTTTCTATTCCCATGGAATTTCATTTCAGCAACCTAAAAACCTGATAAATCCCTCAGACATTCCTCATTTAGTTAAGAATTTTATGCACTTTCTCCACTCATTTCTATAGTCAAATGTAAGCCACTCTTCTAACCCAAAGACTACCATTTAAAATCCAGAGATTTTCATAATGTAAGCCCCAAACTACAGCTCGGTGCAGCTGCTGCAAGATGGATTAGGCAAGGACTGCGGTCTCCTGTCAGTTGCATGAACTGGAAATTATAATGCGACCCAGCGACCTCCGCATAAAATATGCAACGAGAAAGGAAAATATAGAAAATGCCATAAGCTCCACTTACTTGCCACTTGACCATTTATTGTCGCATTTGGGCCAATTCCAGCAAACTCAGCGACTGTGGGACTGCCGGCGGCTGGCTCGTGTCCGGGCGTTGTTATCCCAGCCCCTGCTCCAGCTCCACCACTGGCTGCACCGCTCGCTGCTCCACTAACGGCACCACCTGAAGCCGCACCACCAACGCTGCTGCTGGCACTACTGGCCTCGTCTCGCTTATTGGGCAAACTCTCCGGCGTGCTGGCAACTGCAAATAAAACCAGATTTAAGTATGAGAGATTTTGTTGATGGGTAGACAACAGGTTTGGGTCTGTGTATGGCAATCAGAAATATACATAGGAACACCATGCATTCTCGTATGTATCCCTTTCTGCCCCCAGCCCAAATCCTTTTGTTTTGTGGCAATCCCTTATTTTCGGCTTAGCCAAAGTGTATTTTTGTGTGCTGTAACAGCTGTAACAGAATAAAATTGTGTTGAAATTTGACTGAAATTATACCTTTATTCTGAGCGACACACAAAATGCCAAAAAATCTGCCAATCTAAGAAAATAAATCTAAATTTTTTAAAGCCAACTTTTGGGGATACAAAGGAAAAAGAAGAACGAAACTCTTGTGTTTCCAAATGCAGATCATTCTGCTACTATTTTTCCCAAAGTCAGAGCACCCCAAAATGAAACTACCAATTATTTTCCCTATCTCCTTAAAGCGTTTCCAATGCCTCAACTCCTGCACGTTTTATCCCTCTACCCTCCTTCGCTGGCACTAGAAGATTATCTTGAAATTGCTTTTTATGCGTTGGAAAGGCTTTTACTAGGACAGGGCTAAGGCTGTGCTTTTTCTCTCTCTCTCTCCTTACTGTCAGTTGGCAAGGCTACAATGAAATCAGAGGAAAAACAAATACATTTTCATAGTTAATATTTATATTTATTTTATTTGTTATAATACGCCGGAGCCACGTGGTGCAAAACAAAATTACCGCTTAACAGAGCAAAGTTGAGCTCAGTTTTTCCACGGAAAATATACTATAAATATTTATTTACCTAACTAGATGATGATTTTCCTAACAAATTGAACAAACACTTTAATGTCTAGAATAAATTATTGACACTGAAACAGCGACGAGCTCTGTGGCTGTGGCTCTTCCTCTCTAGCTCGCTCTCTGTGAAGTTGTGTGGTGTTCGGGTTCGGGTTTCGGGTTGCGGGTTATCTATAAATGACTGCCAATCGCTTGGGCAAAGCCCCAGTCTTGTCTAACCAGTCAAAGCGTTGACACACACACAACAAATCCAACACTAAATCCACTGCAATCATGCGTTTCTTTGCCCTGATCGCCCTCTGCCTGTTCGCCCTGCTGTCGCTCACCGTGGCCCAGGAGGAGTTCTGCCCGTGTCCGCGCAACTTTGAGCCCGTCTGTGGCTCCGACTCCAGGACCTACACCAACAAGTGCGATCTGCAGTGCCAGGCCACCAAGGCGGCGCGTCAAGGCCGCAGCATTACGCTCATCAAGGAGGGCAAATGCTGAGAAATCAAATAATAACTTGAAACCCGATTTACGCTGCAAATAAAAACGGGTCCACTGTGACCTTTTTGTGTATAACTTTCTGAGTGTGTCTTTGCCATTGTGGCGTTTGTTGTTGACCCAATTGGTTAGCTATTTGGACATATGTTGGCACAACTAAGTCGCAACAATAACTAAAAAGTTAGACCAGGGCTGGCAGGCCACAGACAAACTTGGGAAATGGAAATGCAAAGTGGGAGGAGAATTATTTAGATAAGAGTAAATGTATTTCCTTGTTGCTCTTTCAGTTTGCCTTCAATTTCAACAAAATGTTTCCACATTTAATAATATTTATTTTCTCTTTCTCGAAATATATTTTGCAAATCTTTTTGCACTTATTTGAAAGTGTAGACAACACAAACCTTATCTGAGAATGTGCCAATTTAGAAGCTAATTTAATCAAATATTTTGGCATGAATCACCAAAGCCATAGATTAGTTTTTGAGAAGGAAACAGATAGGAGCAGATAGGAGTACGTGTATCTGCTCTATGGCTATCGTTGGCGCTGATCCACTTGATGCTCGGAACTAATGATTCGCAAATATGCAGCCCTCGTTCCAGGTGCGGCTTTGCCCGGCTTTCCCCCTCCAACCTGATTTATGCGCCCGTTATTTACGATTCATTTGTGCGATAAAGCCAGACGACTGCTATCTGCTATCAACTGCAGGCTGTGGCTGATAAGCTGATTTCTATATATTTTTCTATATGTAATAATTTATTTCACATTGATGATTAATACACTTGCTACACGTCAGCATATCCTTTATTTTTCCGTTTGTTTTATATTAAAAATTTTGCTTTCTGCTCAGCACTGGCCCGAGCGCAGGAGTCCCAGATTGCGGCCTTGACGTTCCGCCTCACGACGCACACAATTGTATTCGCAGCGATTGGGATAGGTGACCAGATTGGAGGCACACACCGGATCGTAGTTCCGGGGACAGGGACAAAACTTGCTCACAGTTTTGGGTTCCTTTTCGGGGGATGCATCGTCCGCCTGTGTGGGTGCAAAGGCCAGCGCCAGCAGCAGGCACAGAGCCACCAGAATGCTCAGAAATTTCATTTTAGTTTCTTTTATTTGTTTTTTTGCTGCCTGTCGGTGAGGTTAATCCACTTGCTTCACTCTTTCGATACTGCCCGCCCGAAAATGCTTTCGTTTGGGTTTGATTTTGGTTCTAGCTCCGGCGTGCTTCGATTTCCATTTGTTGCTTATCTTATCGCTTCTGTTTAGTTTGTTTGGAATTGTGTGTGAGGGCACCAAAACTCAGAATTTTTTCTGGAATATCTGTCAGCAATCACAAGGCACAGTTCTGAGTACTTTGCTGCCCTAATGTATTCATTTCAATTGAGTTGAATTATTTATGTGTTTTCTTGTTTGTTTACTTTGTATTTAATTATTTGTTTTATCAGAGCAGAGAACCAAGTAAAGGCGCATTTTGGTTTAAAGCCGTTAAAGCTTTTACGCGCGAAGCTTTTCGCTCTTCGCTGTCTCCCTGCCATCCACTATCTTCATGTGACGCTCTCTCTGACGCTGCAGCACTCTCTTTCTATTGCGCTCTCTTTCTATAGCTCTCTCTTGTCATGACGCACTCTCTATCGCTTCTAGCTACCTGTACCGCTCTCTTTTTTTTGTAACAACGATCAAAGCTTAGCCCTTGAAAGCTGACAAATGCAATTAAAGGAAATAAAAAAGCCCTTTCGAAACATTTGCCGTTATACATTTTTTCACGTTTTTTATGGAGCCCCTAATTTAATTAATGTGCCACCAGACATTTTTTTGTCAGGCAATTTACACGCTCCTACGCACACTCGCCTCGCATTGTTTATCTTATGTCGGTCTGCCTTTCAATTGGAATTTCAATGTCCATTTAATTTCAATTTCAATTAATTTAGCTTCAAGCGATAAATATAAGCCACTGGGGAAATTTCCCTAAGAGCCGCTCTCTGGGTTCATATAGTTCTCGATGTGCTGCCAGCATGAGAGGTATATTTCTGGCTGTGTTATTGCTGCAAGTGCTGGTGGTATGGGCCCTGAATTGTCAGCCCTGTAAACTGCTGGAAGCTCGTAAGACCCATGCAAATGAAACACAGAAGCAACCAAGGGGCTAAGAAATAGAAGAATATTTTTGTGTGTGCAAAATAATTGGCAAAAAAGTTCTGCAAACTCTGCAAAAAGTGTGAAAACAAATGTAATTTTTTATATTTATTAAATTAACTTTTCTTCCACTGAACTTTCTGTTCTTGGCCCACTGTGCGTATGGTGTAATCGAATGCATGAATGAATGTTTCATTCAATTCGAATAAACACATTTTGTGCTCCATTTCCTTTGCAACATTTTCCCTAGAATTACACACATAAATATGTACAGATGGTTTGTGGTATAAACAAGCAACGAAACCATGTGAGATGAGGTGTTTTTCCTCTAATTAGAACTTCCGCTTAAGATATACAAATTCTATTTGTTAAGATGTCTTACATTTATACACTTGCTAGTTTCAGTTGTGAAGAGTTAACCTCTCAACCAACCCGCACCCGCTCGCTCTCAACGCTCACAGAATGCGAGTAGTCTCTGAGGAGGAGCACAACGATAAGAGCTTCTTTGTGTGAGCAAAATAATCAGCAGCTTGTTTGACTAATTAGCAAAAACTTACGCATACACTGGGGCAGAATATATATGTGCATATGTACAGTCAAACAGATAGGCAAAAACAAACCCAAAACAAGCTGCACTCGACAGACCCACAACCCGAGTAGCAGAGTCTCAGTCTCAGTTGAACGCTCGACGCGATACGGCAGGTTGCTTCCCAGAAATTTTGTGTATCATTTAACCACAAAGACGAGAACGAAACCTCACAAGATGAAGGTCTTTGCTTTGATTTCAATCCTCGTCCTGGTGCTGGCTACCCTGTGTTTGGCTCCAGCCGACGCCAGCTTCTGTCCGTGCGACCTCAAGACGGTGAAGACGGAGGTGTGCGGCTCCAATGGAGTCACCTACAAGAATCGCTGCGAGTTCGAGTGCACACAACGCGACTACAAGAAGCTGGGCCGCATTCTGAATATCCGTAATACGGGTCCTTGCTAAAGGAGCACCCAAAGAGCAGAGGGAGCTAAGGTGTTGCTTGGGCTGTGCCACCAAATAAGTGAAATAAGTGCTGTGAGATTATGGTGGAGCATTGAAATAATCATTAATGTTTGTACATCAATTGTTATGGCAAATAAATGTGTGCTGAAATGGCAATGTTTTTTAAACGAAGTAAATTCAAATATTATTTCAAACAATAACAAAAACTTCTCATTACAAACAATTTCTTACAGGTCACTCCCCATTCGTCGCATTCTTTTCTCTTTTTGTTGATTTGTTCTCATCGTCGCCTCACATCCGACACTGAAATGTATTACATAAGCAGGTACATATGCAAATAACGCCATTCAATGCTAATTAAATGCCACTTTGACGTGTGCGTCATCACCTCTCAGTCAATCAAACGGATCGACGACATGGCCGCAGTTCGCAGTCACTGACAGACGCCTCTCTGAGTGGTGGTGGTAGGGGAGGGGGAACTCTAACGGGGACACGCGCTCCCCTCACATTCACTCTCTGACTGCGACGCGGAGGGACTCGCTCTCTTGCTACAACACTCTGGGGGAGGGGGGACTCTAACGGGGACTCGCGCTCGTCTGCGACGCGGAGGGGACCTCTCTTTCTCTTTCTCACTCTCTCTCTCTACTTCTCTTTTACTGCCGTTTATGCATTCGACGCACGCACATCAATCAAATTTATGCATAATTAATCGTTTTGCCAGCAGTCATTTGCCTCCGATTTGCTGATTGCCAGTGGATGTGATTTATTAACTCGGAGCGTAGCGGCTTGACTAACTGAATTTCAATACAAACATCCCAAAAGTGGTGTGCAAACACCAGTCCACCACCCACTGAAACCCACCACACGGCAGCCACAAAAAACAAGAACAATAACAAGCTAAGCCAAGAGCCACAACGAATCTGCATAATAACAGAGTTGGAACTTTATGAGGTGGTGCCACCGTTTCACTTTATGACGGGAAGCTGCTGCCTGTCAGCTGCACGGAATTTGGCTAGCCGGAATGTTATTAAAAAGATAATACACCAGATTGAGTCAACGGGTTGAATCATGACAATGAATTGGGGTCTTATCTGCCAGCCGGGAGAGCAGCAGTCAGTGGCAGTCACAGAGAATTAGCCAAAATGTGGGAATTTTATCATAATTTGTCAACCTGCAGGGCTGTCCATGCCCGGGCATTGTTTTAAAGGGAGAGCAAAGACAGGGGAGACAAATGAAATTGAAAGGAGTCTTAGAATTAAGGGAAAGAGCAGGAAAATCGAAGCTTTTTTGAGTGATTCATTTTAGTAGAAAGAGAGATTCTTCTTCATTTTCGCTTGTACTGCACTTACCTTAATCTAAACCAAAAGCCAAACTAATTTTGTTTCGATTTGTAGGCCTATACATGCGATTGTTAATAGATAATGCTGTACCATGGCACCAGCCCCCAAAAACCCTCAGAATAATAAAAGCGATAGTAAAGGTTAAAAAACAGAACACGAGCTGATATATGGTATATAGCCAGGCTGCTGTTGCTCCAATCGATTTGTGATAACAAGTATTTGATAAGCGTAAACGTATTGACAACATCAAACAGCAAGGTCCCACAAAAAAAAACCCCAAAAAATCGAGAGCAAACAAGGGCGCCAAGAGGTTGTCAGAGGACAGACAGCAAAATAAAAAATGAGTAAAAATTTGGGTAGAAAATACTTAAATGGGTGAAAGGTGGGGCGGAGGGACTACCCAAAACCCCGTAGCATATGTTTAGGCGCGTGTGCTAAATTCGTAAATATCTGAGGCTACCAACGGATTAGTCGTCGACTGATTTTTAATATGCCAGGCTGTTAGGCCAGGGTCCCCCGATGCAAAACTTTCATATGATTAAATATTTACATAATACAAAATGTACGGGCTGTGTGTTCGGGGAGCCCAAAAGCCAAATTGAAAAGTGCTCTGAAGGGTACATACATTCCCGAAAATATTCTGACACAAAAGGCTGAAGAAGGGCACGCGAAAGCGAAAGCGAAAGCGAAAGCAATTCAATCAGAGTCGCGACATGAAAGGTAAACCCTGTTGTCCCGACCGGCAAACCCACAGACAGACAGAGACAGGTGCACCCTTAGAAAAGGAGAAGAACAAGTGGAACAGAAAAGGAGACGTGCCGCTGGGACAGGTGAGTGAGTTGGCACAGTTCGGTGAGACAGGCGCAGGATTAGTCGGGAGCTGGCTGCCACCGTTTTGCCCTTAAGTTTGGCCCCCTCCAAATTATAGCAAATTTGCTTGGCTTGGCTTGGCTTGGCCGAAAAGGAATTCCAATATTTGGGAACAAAAACTCGAGACACGCCCCCATGTCAAACCCTTTTCATGTCGTGCGCTGTAAATAGCTGAATTATGCCACGCTACACGTGAAGATTTCTGCACATATTTGTGCACCAAAAGAGGAAAGTCGAAGGACTACAAAGGATCTTTCTAGAGGCAGCAATGGGGCAAAGCAAAAGCAGCCATCAGACAACCATTTGGTTTGGTTACTCTTGTTTTTGATGTTGATGGCAACATGTTTTAATTAAGCTGCCAGCAGCAGCAGCAGCAGCAGCAGCCACAAGAAATCTGGTGCCTGGTTGGGTCCAAAATGGGTCCTGTCTGCGGCTTCCATTTGGACATCCTGGTCACGCAACGGAAGTTGGCGGTTTGGCCAGAGCAGCGAAATTGCAGCTTGATAAATGTGCTGACGGTTAGAGTTTGTTTGGCCTTTCCACCGGAAATACAAGCTTTGGGATTTTGTACGGGATATTGGAGGCAACGGAGGTAATAAGTTATGGCGCAACATTTACGGTGTGTGTTTTCCCCTTGTTGCTGGCAGGCTTTTAGTGAAACTTTTTATTAATTTATATAATTAGAAACTGCAGACAGATTGGATGTTTATGTGCGGAGCAGCTCTTTATGGAGAAAGCTTTAGTGTAAATTTCACTTCAGCTTGGTTCCAATTTCTTCTTAGAGCCACCTAACAGCAGCACTTTCATTTATATTCCTAAGCAAACTCCTTCATTTATATTACACACTCCACAACATGCTTCACTTTGGCTACACGTCGCGCGTCATGCAGCAGCGCTCATCGGTGGATTTGAGTTCCCCGAAGCTTTCCTCTCAACTTATTTTGTCAATTGAACTTCTATTAATACTTGTAAATTTGCTGCTGATTCATGTCCACCAATAAATAAATATTTAAATATTATTACTTCCTTGCCATCTGCTCTTCCCTTTAGTTTATTTGCTCGTGCTCTGGAGGGAGCCATGTTTTCCCTGGCAAAACAACTTACAATTGACACAGTTACATGTTACAATTCTCTTCACGAACAGCACAAATACCTCAGACAATGCCCGACAGTTGTTTCAATATTTGTGTGGCGATCGCCAAACAAAACCGGAATTGAGTAGAGCCGGTCAAGCGGTATAAAAGGGCTGTGCTAAGGCTGGCCAAGAGAGAGAACTCAGTAGGATGATGATCGGTTTGGGTAAAGTAATAGCCCTCGCGGTGAATGTGGGTCTAGTTGTGGGTTTGGCCGCCGCCGGACCATCAAAGAAGGAGCACAAAGCGCTGGATGCCAAGAACAATTGGTGGAAGAACGAGGTCTTCTATCAGATCTACCCTAGATCGTTCCAGGACAGCGACGGCGATGGCATTGGCGATCTGCCGGGCATCACCTCCAAGCTGGAGTACTTCGCGGAGACGGGCATTACGGCTGTGTGGATGAGTCCCATCTTTGAGTCGCCCATGGTGGACTTTGGCTACGACATTTCCAACTACACAAACATCCAGCCCGAGTATGGCACCCTGGAGGATTTTGATGCACTGATTGCCAAAGCCAATGAGCTGGGCATCAAGGTCATACTCGACTTTGTGCCGAATCACAGCTCCAATAAGCATCCGTGGTTTGCCAAGTCCATTGCCAGGGAGGCTGGCTACGAGGATTTCTATATGTGGGAGAATGGCACACTGCTGGAGAACGGCACTCGAGTGCCGCCCAATAACTGGAGATCCGTGTTCTCGGGCTCCGCGTGGGAGTGGAACGAGGAGCGTGGACAGTACTACCTGCGGCAGTTCACCTACGCCCAACCCGATCTTAACTATCGCAATCCCGCTGTGGTCCAGGCCATGGATGACACTTTGCTCTATTGGCTGAACAAGGGCGTCGCTGGCTTCCGCATTGATGCCGTCATTTACGTCTACGAGGACGAGCAGCTGCGGGATGAGCCACTGAGTGGCACCACCAGCGATCCCAATTCGTTTGATTATCTCGAACACATTTACACAAAGAACCAAAAGGAAAGCTACACCCTGCTGCAGCACTGGCGCCAGCTGCTCGACAACTACTCCAGCAGCAATGAGGGTCCTCTGCGGATCATGATGACCGAGGGTTATGCTCCGTTGGCGGATCTAATGGATTACTATGAGGATGCGCAGGGCGTGCTGGGACCAGAGTTTCCTTTCAATTTTGATTTCATTACCGAACTGAATGCCGATTCCTCGGCTGCAGATTTTATCTTCTATATTGAGCGTTGGTTGATTTACATGCCACATGGACATGTGGCCAATTGGGTGATGGGCAATCACGACAATTCACGTGTGGCCTCACGCTTTGGTGCACAGTCTGTGGATGCCATGAATATGCTGATGATGACACTGCCAGGCATTGGAGTGACGTATTATGTGGGTGCAGCAATGATTTATTTCTCCATTTTATTTGCATTTCTGCTCTCCTTTTAGGGCGAAGAGCTGGGCATGCTGGACTATCGTGACATAAGCTGGGAACAAACTGTGGATCAGCCTGCCTGTGAAGCTGGCATTGACAATTACAAGTGGATCTCTCGCGACCCCGAGCGCACGCCCATGCAGTGGAGCGATGAAGCGAATGCTGGGTTCTCCAGTGCCGCTCAGACTTGGCTGCCTGTGCACCCCAACTACAAGGAGCTAAATCTGCGCAATCAACAGCAGGCAGAGCGAAGTCACTACAAGATCTATCAGTCGCTGCTGAAACTGCGAGAAAAGGAGGCACTCAAGAGTGGAGCTTTCATACCTGGAGTGCTGAATCGCCGAGTGTTTGCTTTTAAGCGGTAAGCAAAGCTCTCTCTCTCTCTCTCTCTCTCTTTGAACTCTACTCTAACTCTCTTCCATC